AAAGACACCTGTCCACACACTCAATCAAACAGACTCCAACCTCTCCACAATGGCCAAGACCAGAGAGCTGTGTAAGGACATCAGGGATAAAATTGTAGACCTGCACAAGGCTGGGATGGGCTACAGGACAATAGGCAAGCAGCTTGGTGAGAAGGCAACAACTGTTGGCGCAATTATTAGAAAATGGAAGAAGTTCAAGATGACGGTCAATCACCCTCGGTCTGGGGCTCCATGCAAGATCTCACCTTGTGGGGCATCAATGATCATGAGGAAGGTGAGGGATCAGCCCAGAACTACACGGCAGGACCTGGTCAATGACCTGAAGAGAGCTGGGACCACAGTCTCAAAGAAAACCATTAGTAACACACCACGCCGTCATGGATTAAAATCCTGCAGCGCACGCAAGGTCCCCCTGCTCAAGCCAGTGCATGTCCAGGCCCGTCTGGTTTGCCAATGACCATCTGGATGATCCAGAGGAGGAATGGGAGAAGGTCATGTGGTCTGATGAGACAAAAATAGAGCTTTTTGGTCTAAACTCCACTCGCCGTGTTTGGGGGAAGAAGAAGGATGAGTACAACCCCAAGAACACCATCCCAACCGTGAAGCATGGAGGTGGAAACATCATTCTTTGGGGATGCTTTTCTGCCAAGGGGACAGGACGACTGCACCGTATTGAGGGGAGGATGGATGGGGCCATGTATCGCGAGATCTTGACCAACAACCTCCTTCCCTCAGTAAGAGCATTGAAGATGGGTCGTGGCTGGGTCTTCCAGCATGACAACGACCCGAAACACACAGCCAGGGCAACTAAGGAGTGGCTCCGTAAGAAGCATCTCAAGGTCCTGGAGTGGCCTAGCCAGTCACCAGACCTGAACCCAATAGAAAATCTTTGGAGGGAGCTGAAAGTCCGTATTGCCCAGCGACAGCCCCGAAACCTGAAGGATCTGGAGAAGGTCTGTATGGAGGAGTTGGCCAAAATCCCTGCTGCAGTGTGTGCAAACCTGGTCAAGACCTACAGGAAACGTATGATCTCTGTAATTGCAAACACAGGTTTCTGTACCAAATATTAAGTTCTGCTTTTCTGATGTATAAAATACTTATGTCATGCAATAAAATGCAAATTAATTACTTAAAAATCATACAATGTGATTTTCTGGATTTTTGTTTTAGATTCCGTCTCTCACAGTTGAAGTGTACCTATGATAAAAAATTACAGACCTCTACATGCTTTGTAAGTAGGAAAACCTGCAAAATCGGCAGGTTATCAAATACTTGTTCTCCCCACTGTATGTTTAGTGTCTCACTTTATGACAACAACGTAACGTTACTTCCTGATACGTACTAACCATGTCGCTCTGTCTGTCTCTTTGTCTTTATCTGTAGGTCTACAAGAGGGCTAAAGCACTGGACCAGTCAGACAACGACATGTCGGCTGTCTACAGAGCCTACATTCACTAAACCTCCTGAAGAGCCTCTCCTCTACCTATCCTCTCCTCTACCTATCCTCTCCCTCTCCTCTACCTATCCTCTCCCTCTCCTCTACCTATCCTCTCCCTCTCCTCTACCTATCCTCTACTCTACCTCTCCTCTGGACCACTTATCTTTTATTTTTGTATATTTTATCTCTATTCATTTCCCCCCCCTTTTTTCATCCCCAATTTTGTGATATCCGATTTGGTAGTTAGTCTTGTCCCATCGCTGCAACTCCCGTACACATCCTCCTAAACACAACCCCGCCAAGCCGCTCTGCTTCTTGACACACTGCACGCTTAACCCAGAAGCCAGCCGCACCAATGTGTCGACGGAAACACCGTACACCTGTTGACCGTGTCAGTGGTCGCTACAGCACGATGGGACAAGGACATCCCGGCCAGCCAAACTCTCCCCTAACCCGGACGACGCTGGGCCAATTGTGCGTCGCCTCATGGGTCTCCCGGTCGCGGCCGGCTGCGACTTAGAAGGGTATCGAACCAGCATCTGTAGCAACGCAGCTTGCACTGCGATGCAGTGCCTTAGACCGCTGCGCCACTCGGGAGGTCCCACTCTTATCTTTTACCCATTTTTATTCCATTTTTATTTTAGTAAAATTATTTTTGTCTGGCACCTGAAATATTGGTATACTTCCCAAATGACAACCTACTTCCTATATAGTGCACAACTTTTGACCAGGGCCCATTCTTTCCTCGTGAACGAAGCTGAATACCCAACTCTGTCGACTTGTCTAAACTACATTCAGAGCGTGATTTTGTCATTGTAGAATCAGGGTCCATAGGGCTCTCATCAAAAGTAATGCGCAGCGGTCTAAGGCACTGCATCTCAGTGCTGGAGGCTTCACTACAGACCCAGGTTCGATTCCAGTCTGTATCACAACCGGCCGTGATCAGGAGTCCCATAGGGCGGCGCACAATTGGCCCAGCGTCGTCCGGGTTTGGCCGGTGTAGGCCGTCATTGTAAATAAGAATTTGTTCTTAACTGACTTGCCTAGTTAAATAAAGGCTCAATAAAAAATAAAAAATAAAGATATAGGGAAATAGGATGTAATTTGGGAAACAACCATTCCTTCCCTGTAACTGATGGGAACCTCTGGAACCACCCAACCTGGAACATTGCACTGACTGAGCTTTTTAATAATGTTATAAGAATGGTCCACTGAAGGTTGCTTTTTCCCCCCCCCCATCTTTGCTGTTTGTTGTCGATGGTGCTGGTCAAGTTTCTGATGGTAAAGTACTGCAGGGTGTTCAGAACATATTTTGGGATGCAGCCCATTGTTGACGCACGGTAAGGTGTTCAGTAGTGATTTGGAACGCGACCCATTTGCTTAATGCTGTCGGGTGGGTTTTGAAGGTGTGTACAGGCCATGGATTAATTTATCACTTGTGTTCTTTCTTTGCGTTTTATTTAATTCTACGTGTGAAAATGTCCTTTTATTTTGAATGTCAGAATTCCATAAACGTATAAAGCTGTTGATATTATCTTTAAAAAGAGGGCAAAGGCTAGGAGATCACCAAGAGGAATAATGCCACTGCTTTGCCTTAATATTGGAACCCTTTGAAATCTTCTGACATTTATTTATTTATTTTAGACACTCTAGATCTCTCTATTCTACTTCTCTTGGTGCAGTTTTACCTGGAGTTTTTTCCGTAGTTCTCTGAATCTGAACAGTGTTTGTTGTGTTAGGGGGCAGGTTCTCTAACAGGTTAAGGTTATGTTAATAAGGTTATTCTGAGGCCTTATAATACAGTAATGAGTTTATCGTTCTTCTAACAGGGATTCATCCCAAATGGCACCCTACTCCCTTTATAGTGCAATACTTTTGCCCAGAACCCTGGTCAAAAGTAGTGCACTATGTAGGGAATAGGGTGCCATTTGGACGCATCCTGGGACATTTTAAGGTTATCATGTTTAAAACCCATTGCAGTGATCTAACATTATAAAACAGGCAAGTTGTTCACTTTTTATTGTACATGTATGTATGGGGACCCACATTATGAAACCACATTCTGCTTAGCGACCTGTTGTATTTTAACTTAACTATTGATCAGTTGGCTTGATGACTTGGGTTATTGCACCACAACAGTTCCCCTTTGCAGTGGTCCCAGTCTGTTTGTGCCATCATGCCAACTCGTTGTCATATCAAACATGTTGGGCTTGACAAGTACAGCAAGGAAGTTGGCCAAGACCACAAACAGATCTGGGATCAGACTAAGGAGGACAGATGTATTTATTACCAGATCAATCACCATACAGGAAACAGTCAAACTACAGAATGTGAATTTCTGTTTAATCATAACCACTCCTTGAGATTCAAGGCCCAATCTACAACCTTTCATGTTCTCCTTAAAAGGGATACCTGGCAGGGCCATGAGAAGACAGGCAATGGTTACCTGAATGGCAGTGGGGGAATTTAGGCCACATAACAAAATACATTAAAGAGAATTAGTCACCATCAAAATACCTCATAACCTACTGTAGCTTGAGGTGGGTTATTGTCCTGTCAAAATTAAATATGGCTCACTTTCAATAATGATTTTATCCCTTTTTGTTTTAGTTCATTTTGATTAGAAAAAACGTGAACCTATTAAATTCAGTGTAAAACCCAATTGAACATGTATAACCTCTGTTTTTGATTTTGGTTGTATATCATTTTCACAAGGTAATGATCATCCTATTTTTTTTAGAAAATACATTTTCCTTTTGCCAAGCAAGATGTGAATTAAGTTTTAGGTTTAATTTGTTTGAACACGAATAGTTTTAAAGATTAAGAAGTATGTATTTAGTAGGAAACATTCAAACAAATGACTTTGTAAATAGCCCATATTGGTTGAGCAGGTGTTTGCTTTATAAATAAAGGGTAATATAAAATACTTTTGGTTAGATTCCTCTACTGACTGTCAATCGTCCAGTGTGTCCCAAATGGCACCATGTCCCCTACTCTGGTCAAAAGTAGTGCACTACATCTGGAATAGGGTGCCATATGAAACACACATCTAGTGTCTTAATACTACTGTAGATTGTTCTGTTTTAGTGTTTGCGGTTTTAAATTTATCTCCTGTAAAAAATTGTTTATGTGGCTTATACAGACAAAGTTACTTATAACGGCGATTGTTGAAATGACTTACTTGGGCCCAATTTTGTGCAGGGCCAGGCGGGGACGGTGAAACTGTATGGATTTGGGATATTTATGTGAAACATCAAGGCTTTTTTGTGCAGTTTATTAAATCCTCTCCTGACTTAAATCCATGTGTGTTTTCATGAAACACACACACCGTAGTGAAAATCATATTTATTCACAAGGCAACACAGATCTAATTCTGTTGATATAGATTGCAATTTGTACTTGATTAAACAGTACTACTGTGTTTTGAGGTCAACCAGGGGAGAAAAGCTTAGGGGCCTGCTCCAACCACTCTCCTTTCTGCTTTTCTAGGCCTGCTGCGGAAAATGTTTCAATGTGACGCAAACCGGAAGCGCATTCCCAAAGAAGGGATTGGGGGGCGGGGCCAAGATTAATTGTGAGCGTGTGATTTGAAGCTGTCTTGCTACGTAAACACAACACTAGAAGAAGACTGGGTTGAAGATCTTCTAGTTTACGTACTTGGTGGACCGGTCTGCCAGCGGGAATGCTCAATCCTCAAAGATCTTTATCTGAACTCTCAAATATGTCGGGTCCAAGCCAAGCCGAGAGGGCTGTTTTGGTAAGCAAAGCTGTAAGGGTCGGGATCATGACAAGCTAGCTAGCTAACAACATTAATGGGTTTACCTTGGCTAGCTAGTTATTAATCGACGTCAAGCTACCTATTTTGCTAGCCAACTACTGATTGTTACTGTTATGGTTGTACATGTTCTTATGCGATCTTGCGTGATAGAAAGGGACGTTAGCTATACACTTAGTGTACAAAACATTAAGGACACCTGCTCTGTACAAGACAGACTGACCATGTAAATCCAGATGAAAGCTATGATCCCTTGTTGATGTCACTTGTTAAATGAACTTCAGTCAGTGTAGATGAAGGGGAGGACTGAGACAGGTTAAATAAGGATTTTTAACCCTTGAGACAATTGAGACATGGATTGTGTATGTGTGCCATTCAGAGGGTGAATGGGCAAGTCAAAATATGTAAGTGTCTTTGAGTGGGGTATGGTAGTAAGTGTCAGGCGCACTGGTTTGTGTCAAGAACTGCGAAGCTGCTGGGTTTTTCACGCTCAACAGTTTATCGTGTGTATCGAGAATGGTCCACCACCCAAAGGACATCCAGCCAACCTGACAACTGTGGGAAGCATTGGAGTCAACATGGGCCAACGTCCCTGTGCGACTCAATATTAGGAAGGCGTCCTTAATGTTTTGTACACTCACTGCCATAGTGCCTGACAGTGCCGAGAATAAAACTGCTCTGCTGCCTTGCATCTGCAAGATCTGGTGTTGTTCTTTGCAATACCTTTTCTGCTGATTGTCAATGACAACGTGATATACAGTATGATCGAAGTCCTCATAATAGTCATATTGAATGATTGTCACATTTGCAGCCTTCTATGGGCGAGGTCACTGCTTCCCTGCCAACCCCATTATATCTAGCCTATTGTACACACCTACATCCATAGGTGTCAAGCGTCACATTCAGTCCTCAAGGGTGTGCTTCATCCAAGAACTCCCCAGTGCGATATAAGGTATATGCAGGGCTTTCTATATAGCTAGCTAGTATACAGGAGTCCCCAGTCTATATATCTAGCTAGTATACAGAAGAACTCCCCAGTCTATGTAGCTAGCTAGTATACAGAAGCAGGTCTCTTAAAGATAGTGGTATGTATGTAGATACTGTACACAGGCACAAGAGCATCATGTCTGTGTTGCGTCCTGTCAGATGAGATTCCTACCATAGAATTAGTGAATCATTCTAATTCTATGATTCCTGCATTCAGGGAAGAAGAACCACAAACACAGCATTCTAAGAACACCAGTGGAGTTCTAATTGGAACCATGATAATGTGAACATTCTAGAACAGAACAATCCTGTCTCAATCTACCCCTATCTCTGCTGACCACCACAGTAACTCTTGTTTGTCTTCTCTCTCTCCCTCCCTCTCCTCTCTCTCCCCCTCCCTCTCCTCTCTCTCCCCCTCCCTCTCCTCTCTCTCCCCCTCCCTCTCCTCTCTCTCCCCCTCCCTCTCCTCTCTCTCCCCCTCTCCTCTCTCTCCCTTCCTTTCTTCCTCTCTCCCACCCTCCCTTCCTCTCAGGAGGAGGAGTTTAACTGGTTGCTGAAGGAGGAGGTCCATGCTGTTTTGAAGCAGCTCCAGGATATACTCAAGGCAAATATTAGGCACACATCTAGGATCAGCTTCCTCTCTACCTATCCTAACCTTAACATTAGTGGGGGAAAGTCCCAAACTGATCCAAGATCAGTGTCTAGGGGCAACCTCAACCTACACAGGGGTACTCAACTCTTACACTACGAGGTCCGGAGCCTGCTGGTTTTCTGTTCTACCTGATAATTAATTGCACACACCTGGTGTCCCAGGTCTAAATCAGTCCCTAATTAGAGGGAAACAATGAAATAATTCAGTGGAACTGTCTTCGAGGTCCAGAGTTGAGTTTGAGGGCTACACCTAAGTATTGACTCCATAGGATCAAAGAGCTCCGATCACAAGACAATGGTGTCACTGAGTGTCTTAACACTGCTGAGTTGTCAATATTGGATTAGACCTAGCTGTGGTACACTGACCCCATAGCCATAGGTGATGATCCTTTAAGAATAGATGATCCTGGCTAATGATGAACCATGTAGAACAAATGCATTCCAAGACATTTCAACTTTGGCTAGGTTGTTGTGTAACTCAATTCTTCAAATGTTGTTTGATTTCAGTGTACTGTTGTCTGAGTTGATTGCTGTTTGTGCTCAAGTTTCTCAAGACATTTGATTGAGTTATTGATGGAGATATTTATGATACTGTAACTAGATTATGTACTATAACTATACTGAACAAAAATATAAACGCAACAATTTCATTGATTTTTACGGAGTTACAGTTCATATGAGGAAATCAGTCAATTTAAATAAATTCATTAGGCCCTAATCTATGGATGTCACATGACTGCGAATACAGATATGCATCTGTTGGTCACAGATACCTTACAAAACAATGGGTCTCAGGATCTCGTCACTGTATTTTTGTGCATTTAAATTGCCATCGATAAAATGCGATTGTGTTTGTTGTCCGTAGCTTATGCCTGCCCATACCATAACCCCACCACCACCATGGGCCACTCGTTGACATCAGCAAACCAATCGCCCACACGACGCCATACACGTGGTCTGAGGTTGTGAGGCCGGTTGGACGTATTGCCAAATTCTCTAAAACGACGTTGGAGGTGGCTTATGGTAGAGAAATGCACATTCACTTCTCTGGCAACAGCTCTGGTGGACATTCCTGCAGTCAGTATGCCAATTGCATCTGTGGCATTGTGTTGTGTGGCAAAACTGCACATTTTGGACTCGCCATTTATTGTCCCCAGCACAAGGTGTACCTGTGTAATGATCATGCTGTTTAATCAGCTTCTTGATATGCCACACCTGTCAGGTGTATGGATTATCTTGGCAAAGGAGAAATGCTCACTAACGGGTGTAAACAAATGTGCACAACATTTGAGAAATAAGCTTTATGTGCGTATGGAACATTTCTGGGATATTTTATTTCAGCTCCTGAAACATGGACCAACACTTTACATGTTGCATTTTATATTTTTGTTCAGTGTATATTGTGTACTATGTAACTAGATTGTGTACTATGTTTATGTCACCAGGAGGCATCCAGGAGGTTCTCCATGCCCACCCCTGGACTGGAGAGCCAACTGAAACAGGAGAACTTCATCCTGGGCAGCTCAACGTAAGACTTGGAGGGATTCATTAGTTGATTGATTGGTTAATTGATCGGTTAGGGTGATTGATTTGTTGAGTGAGTGTGTGAGTGAGTTTGATTGACTTTATTGGCCATTTTAAAAACATAATGTGTCTTGATTCATAGCAACACAATAGACAATGTAAGACATTGATATAATGTGCACTATAAGAAACCCCATCTAGTCCAGCCTAACGAAGACCTATAGTTCACACATGACAGAATAGAAACACATGTCGGATTATGTTATAACCTATACATTCCTTGTTAGACAACATGCATTACCAAAGCAAGTTATTTTCTAATGGTGTTTTTTTCTGGTAAATGTGATTCAACATATAGAGCATGAAAATAGGCTTATTTTTGATGCCTTGTTGCACCTATTTAAAGTTCAGAAGCAAGTCCCAACATATCACCTGTTTCATTTATTAGTGTATGTGTGCGCTTCAGGTCCATGGCTGGACGTATATGTGTTGGTCTAGGAAAACTCTTTGCCTGCTAACATTTGTTTTAGTGGAGGGCCTGTTTATACATTACACAACCTTCTGTTTACAGACATCATCAACAACAGTTTTCTAATCTGCCGGGATTTGAGTCTATGACAAGGTGACATACGACATAGGACTCAGGTCAAAAGTAGTGTAGTGTATAGGGGATAGGGTGCCATTTGGGACTTCCACAGTGTCATTATTGCGGTTCTCGTGAGTCCTGCCGTCTTGTCTTTGCAGCATGGACCAGGTGAAAGGAGTACTGACTCTACAGGGAGAAGCCCTGACTCAAGCTGTGAGTATCTCTTGTCTCTGGTTGTAGACTATTCTCTGGAAACCTCCCAGTAGCAGTGTTTGACTGTGTTTTTAGTAGGGATAAAATGTTGTTACAATGTCAGGTTCTTTCTGACTGTAACATGTTTTCTCTACTAAAACACATTACAGAAAGAACCTGACACATTACATTTACATTTTAGTCATTTAGCAGACGCTCTTATCCAGAGCGACTTACAGGAGCAATTAGGGTTAAGTGCCTTGCTTAAGGGCACAGACAGATTTTTCACCTAGTCGGCTCGGGGATTAGAACCAGCGACCTTTCGGTTACTGGCACAACGCTCTTAACCACTAAGCTACCTGCCACCCATTACAGAAAGAACCTGACATTGTAACATGTTACAGTGGGGAAAAAAAGTATTTAGTCAGCCACCAATTGTGCAAGTTCTCCCACTTAAAAAGATGAGAGAGGCCTGTAATTTTCATCATAGGTACACGTCAACTATGACAGACAAATTGAGGGAAAAAAATCCAGAAAATCACATTGTAGGATTTTTAATGAATTTATTTGCTAATTATGGTGGAAAATAAGTATTTGGTCACCTACAAACAAGCAAGATTTCTGGCTCTCACAGACCTGTAACTTCTTCTTTAAGAGGCTCCTGTCACGATCGTTCATGAACGAGAAGGACCAAGGCGCAGCGTGATATGCATTCATATTTATTAACGACTAAACACACGACAAAACAACAAACGAAACGTGAAGTCCAAGGTAGCATACAAACAACATACCTTTACGGAACAAGATCCCACAACCCACTAGTGCCAACAGGCTACCTAAGTATTGTCCCCAATCAGAGACAACGAGCTACAGCTGCCTCTGATTGGGAACCACCCTGGCCAACATAGATCTAAACGATCTAGAAACTAACATAGACAAACCCAACACAGAAAATACACACCCTGACTCAACAAATACAAGTCCCTAGAGTCAGGGTGGGCATTCCGCCTCGGAGGCGGATCCGGGTGTGACCACCACTTACTCTCCACCTCCCCGTTGCGCCCCTGGTCTGGTCTGGACCTTGGCGCGCTGCTTCCTTCCTCCCACGAAGTACCACACCCTGTCTGGACCCTGGTGTGGGAGACCCCGAACCTGGAGAGGGGCTGACATCTGGGTCTGGACTGGAACCGCTGACTGGAGCTGGACCCGACGACGGTGGATCGAACTGCTCTGGCGCCGGGGTGGAGCCGCTGACCGGAACTGGATCAGGCACCGGTGGAGCGGACTGCTCTGGCTCCGGAGTGGAGCCGCTGACCGGAGCTGGACTGGACCCCGGTGGAGCGGATTGCTCTGACTCTGGAGTGGAGCAGCTGACCGGTGCCAGACCAGGCACCGGTGGAACAGGCACAGGCCGTGCCGGACTGGACACACGCACCACTGGCTTGGTGCGGGGAGCAGGAACGGGCCGGACTGGGCTGACGACACACACCCCTGGCTTGGTGCGGGGAGCAGGAACGGGCCGTACCGGACTGGCGACGCGCACCACTGGCCTGGTGCGGGGAGCAGGAACGGGCCGGACTGGGCTGACGACGCGCACCACTGGCTTGGTGCGGGGAGCAGGAACGGGCCGTACTGGACTGGCGACGCGCACCACTGGCCTGGTGCGGGGAGCAGGAACGGGCCGGACTGGGCTGACGACGCGCACCACTGGCTTGGTGCGGGGAGCATGAACGGGCCGTACCGGACTGGCGACGCGCACCACTGGCCTGGTGCGGGGAGCAGGAACAGGCCGGGCTGGCGACGCGCACCACTGGCTTGGTGCGAGGGACAGGAACAGGTCGGACCGGGCTGGCGACGCGCACCACTGGCTTGGTGCACGGGGCAGGAACAGGCCGGGCCGGGCTGGCGACGCGCACCACTGGCTTGATGCGAGGAGCAGGAACGGGCCGAACCATACTGGGAACACCCACCACTGGCTTAGTGCGGGAATCAGGAACGGGCCGGACCGGACTGGCGACACGCACCACTCGATTGGTGCGAGGAGCGGGACTGGGTTCCTTCATTAACCCCCGCTCCTTCTGCTGCCTAACCAGCTCCTCTCGCCGTGCCTCTACACTTTCCTTCTGCTCCCTCTGAACCAATGACCCCCTTAATCTGGCGGCCTCCTCTGCTAAACGGCTGAACCGCTCTATCGCGGCCTCCTGCTGCCTCGTCGTCCACGGCGTGAGCCCCCCCCTACATTTTTTTGGGGCTTGTCTCTCCCCCGTGATCATGGCCTCCATCCCTCTTGCCAGACTCTCGCTCATCATCTCCCAAGTCCATCCTCTCTCCTCGTCACGCTGCTTGATCCAGGATTGGTGGGATCTTCTGTCACGATCGTTCATGAACGAGAAGGACCAAGGCGCAGCGTGATATGCATTCATATTTATTAACGACAAAACAACAAACGAAACGTGAAGTCCAAGGTAGCATACAAACAACATACCTTTACGGAACAAGATCCCACAACCCACTAGTGCCAACAGGCTACCTAAGTATGGTCCCCAATCAGAGACAACGAGCTACAGCTGCCTCTGATTGGGAACCACCCTGGCCAACATAGATCTAAACGATCTAGAAACTAACATAGACAAACCCAACACAGAAAATACACACCCTGACTCAACAAATACAAGTCCCTAGAGTCAGGGCGTGACAGCTCCTCTGTCCTCCACTCGTTACCTGTATTAATGGCACCCGTTTGAACTTGTTATCAGTATAAAAGACACCTGTCCACAACCTCAAACAGTCACACTCCAAACTCCACTATGGCCAAGACCAAAGAGCTGTCAAAGGACACCAGAAACAAAATTGTAGACCTGCACCAGGCTGGGAAGACTGAATCTGCAATAGGTAAGCAGCTTGGTTTGAAGAAATCAACTGTGGGAGCAATTATTAGGAAATGGAAGACATACAAGACCACTGATAATCTCCCTCGATCTGGGGCTCCACGCAAGATCTCACCCAGTGGGGTCAAAATGATCACAAGAACGGTGAGCAAAAATCCCAGAACCACACGGGGGGACCTAGTGAATGACCTGCAGAGAGCTGGGACCAAAGTAACAAAGCCTACCATCAGTAACACACTACGCCGCCAGGGACTCAAATCCTGCAGTGCAAGACGTGTCCCCCTGCTTAAGCCAGTACATGTCCAGGCCCATCTGAAGTTTGCTAGAGTGCATTTGGATGATCCAGAAGATGATTGGGAGAATGTCAGATGAAACCAAAATATAACTTTTTGGTAAAAACTCAACTCGTCGTGTTTGGAGGACAAAGAATGCTGAGTTGCATCCAAAGAACACCATACCTACTGTGAAGCATGGGGGTGGAAACATCATGCTTTGGGGCTGTTTTTCTGCAAAGGGACCAGGACGACTGATCCGTGTAAAGGAAAGAATGAATGGGGCCATGTATCGTGAGATTTTGAGTGAAAACCTCCTTCCATCAGCAAGGGCATTGAAGATGAAACGTGGCAGGGTCTTTCAGCATGACAATGATCCCAAACACACCGCCCGGGCAATGAAGGAGTGGCTTCGTAAGAAGCATTTCAAGGTCCTGGAGTGGCCTAGCCAGTCTCCAGATCTCAACCCCATAGAAAATATTTGGAGGGAGTTGAAAGTCTGTGTTGCCCAGCGACAGCCCCAAAACATCACTGCTCTAGAGGAGATCTGCATGGAGGAATGGGCCAAAATACCAGCAACATTGTGTGAAAACCTTGTGAAGACTTACAGAAAACATTTGACCTGTGTCATTGCCAACAAAGGGTATATAACAAAGTATTGAGAAACTTTTGTTATTGACCAAATACTTATTTTCCACCATAATTTGCAAATAAATTCATTAAAAATCCTACAATGTGATTTTCTGGAATTTTTTTTCTCAATTTGTCTGTCATAGTTGACGTGTACCTATGATGAAAATTACAGGCCTCTCTCATCTTTTTAAGTGGGAGAACTTGCACAATTGGTGGCTGACTAAATACTTTTTTCCCCCACTGTATCTCTACTAAAACACATTACAGAAAGAACCTGACATTGTAACATGTTCTCTCTACTAAAACACATTACAGAAAGAACCTGACATTGTAACAACATGTTTTCTGCTAAAACACATTACAGAAAGAACCTGACATTGTAACAACATGTTTTCTGCTAAAACACATTACAGAAAGAACCTGACATGTTACAATGTCAGGTTCTTTCTGTAATGTGTTTTAGTAGAGAGAACATGTTACAATGTCAGGTTCTTTCTGTAATGTGTTTTAGCAGAGAGAACATGTTACAATGTCAGGTTCTTTCTGTAATGTGTTTTAGCAGAGAGAACATGTTACAATGTCAGGTTCTTTCTGTAATGTGTTTTAGTAGAGAACATGTTACAATGTCAGGTTCTTTCTGTAATGTGTTTTAGTAGAGAACATGTTGTTACAATGTCAGGTTCTTTCTGTAATTTTCACCCTCTGTCTTCACAGGACATCAATCTGAAAACTGCTAAAAGCAACCAAGTGATGCATTTCACATTCAGGGATGATAAGCACTGGAAATTGCAACAGGTATTGTAGGGGTGTGTGTGTGTGTGTGTGTGTGGTGGATGGTAATAAACAGAATATGATAAAACACATTTTGATTGCAAATTGACCGCAAGAAGCCTAAACAGATATAATATTGGACTAAAACATAATCATATCATACCTTGATTACATTTGGGGACATTGCCCTGCGTAGGGTGCCGTCTTTCAGATGGGACGTTAAAATGGGTGTCCTGACTGTCTGTGCACATTCAAAAAGCTATGGCGCTTATTGTAAGAGTAGGGGTGTTCACCCTGGTGTCATGGCTACATTCCCAACCTGGCCACATTTCCATCAAGGCCACCTAATCAACCCCCTCATTCCTACTTGGCATTTATCACTCCCACGGGCTGCCAGTTGGGGAAGCAAGCTCTAAACCTAACACTGCAGTAATCAATATCAACCTAGTACTAAAAAGAACATGAGGTAGAACAAAAACACACAAGAAAGAAGAAGAAGAACACAAGAAAGTAAGAAGGCTATAAACAGGGTCAGAAAGTTCCAGTACCATATTTCCAATGTGCAGGGATACCGGGGTGATGGAGGTAGATATGTATAGGGGCCAGGTGACTAGGCATCAGGATATATGATAAACAGTGTTCATTGTGATAAAGTAAGTCTAACGTAACTGTCCAACAATATGCATATGATCAATACACTACACTGTTACTAGTTATATCGCTGATAATAATACTGACTCTGTCCCCTCCATCTCTCAGATCTAATAATACTAACGCTGTCCCCTCCCTCCCTCAGATCTAATAATACTGACTCTGTCCCCTCCCTCCCTCAGATCTAATAATACTGACTCTGTCCCCTCCCTCCCTCAGATCTAATAATACTGACTCTGTCCCCTCCCTCCCTCAGATCTAATAATACTGATGACTCTGTCCCCTCCCTCTCTCAGATCTAATAATACTGACTCTGTCCCCTCCCTCCCTCAGATCTAATAATACTGACTCTGTCCCCTCCCTCCCTCAGATCTAATAATACTGATGACTCTGTCCCCTCCCTCTCTCAGATCTAATAATACTGACACTGTCCCCTCCCACCCTCAGATCTATTAGTACTGACTCTGTCCCCTCCCTCTCTCAGATCTAATTATACTGACTCTGTCCCCTCCCTCTCTCAGATCCAGGATGCTAGGAACCATGTCAATCAGGCTCTGCAGCTGCTGAGTAGTAGAGATGAGAGTTACCACTTCAAGACTGGGGCTGAGGTCAACAAGGTAGGAACACACTCATACACACAGCTACCACTTTAAGACTGGAGCTGAGGGTAATGAGGTTAGTTTCCACCAGGGAACTCATGTCAGAAATAAACTGATTTTTGTGTCATAGCGGAGCTAACTGGGAAGTGTCTTTCCTCTGTTAAGACTACACTACACATCATTGCACTACACACCATTGCACTACACACCATTGCACTACACATCATTACACTACACATCATTAGTCTACACTACACATCATTAGTCTACGCTACACATCATTAGTCTACGCTACACATCATTAGTCTACGCTACACATCATTAGACTACGCTACACATAATTAGTATACGCTACACATCATTACGCTACACATCATTAGTCTACGCTACACATCATTACGCTACACATCATTAGTCTACGCTACACATCATTAGTCTATGCTACACATCATTAGTCTATGCTACACATCATTAGTCTATGCTACACATCATTAGTCTACGCTACACTTCATTAGTCTATGCTACACATCATTAGTCTATGCTACACATCATTAGTCTACGCTACACATCATTAGTCTACGCTACACATCATTAGTCTATGCTACACATCATTAGTCTATGCTACACATCATTAGTCTATGCTACACATCATTAGTCTACGCTACACATCATTAGTCTACGCTACACATCATTAGACTACGCTACACATCATTAGTCTATGCTACACATCATTAGTCTATGCTACACATCATTAGTCTACGCTACACATCATTAGTCTACGCTACACATCATTAGACTACGCTACACATCATTAGACTACGCTACACATCATTAGTCTATGCTACACATCATTAGTCTACGCTACACATCATTAGTCTACGCTACACATCATTAGTCTATGCTACACATCATTAGTCTACGCTACACATCATTTTTCAAGGGGTGCTGGTGCTGTGCCCGTACACCGTGTACCTTTTCATTACCTAGTACAACTTTGCTCCACTGTGTACCTTTTCATTACCTAGTACAACTTTGCTCCACTGTGTACCTTTTCATTACCTAGTACAACTTTGCTCCACTGTGTACCTTTTCATTACCTAGTACAACTTTGCTCCACCGTGTACCTTTTCATTACCTAGTACAACTTTGCTCCACCGTGTACCTTTTCATTACCTAGTACAACTTTGCTCCACCGTGTACCTTTTCATTACCTAGTACAACTTTGCTCCACCGTGTACCTTTTCATTACCTAGTACAACTTTGCTCCACTGTGTACCTTTTCATTACCTAGTACAACTTTGCTCCACTGTGTACCTTTTCATTACCTAGTACAACTTTGCTCCACTGTGTACCTTTTCATTACCTAGTACAACTTTGCTCCACCGTGTACCTTTTCATTACCTAGTACAACTTTGCTCCACCGTGTACCTTTTCATTACCTAGTACAACTTTGCTCCACCGTGTACCTTTTCATTACCTAGTACAACTTTGCTCCACCGTGTACCTTTTCATTACCTAGTACAACTTTGCTCCACCGTGTACCTTTTCATTACTTAGTACAACTTTGCCATCCAAGAGTGCCATCCATATCCTTTAGTCTATTTCCAAGCTCAACGTTTTTTCTGTTGTTGTAGCTGATCACTGTAGTGATGATTGATGATGTTGTTGTAGTTGATCACTGTAGTGATGATGATGATGTTGTTGTTGTAGCTGATGACTGTAGTGATGATGATTGATGTTGTAGTTGATCACTGTAGTGATGATAATGTAGTTGATCACTGTAGTGATGATGATTGTTGTTGTAGTTGATCACTAGTGATGATGATTGTTGTAGTTGATCACTGTAGTGATGATGATGATGTTGTAGTTGATCACTGTAGTGATGATTGATGATGTTGTTGTAGTTGATCACTGTAGTGATGATGATACTGTAGTGATGATGTTGTAGTTGATCACTGTAGTGATGATGATGATGTTGTAGTTGATCACTAGTGATGATGATTGTTGTAGTTGATCACTGTAGTGATGATGATTGTTGTAGTTGATCACTGTAGTGATGATGATTGTTGTAGTTGATCACTGTAGTGATGATGATTGTTGTAGTTGATCACTGTAGTGATGATGTTGTAGTTGATCACTGTAGTGATGATGTTGTTGATCACTAGTGATGATGTTGTTGATCACTGTAGTGATGATTGATGATGTTGTTGTAGTTGATCACTGTAGTGATGATGTAGTTGTTGTTGTTGTTGTAGCTGATGGACGCGGTGATGCTGCAGCTGACCAGGGCTCGTAACCGCCTCACCACTCCAGCAGCCATGACCCTGCCGGAGCTGGCCACCAGCGGCCTCACAGTGAGTCTGCCATACGTCATATATCATAGGTTATAGGTCATAGCAGAGAAACTGGTCTCACCGTCTACTGAATGCATTTTACATCACAATGACTCTCTCTCTCTCTCCTTCTCCAGAAGATGTTCACTCCTCCGATGCCAGGTGATGTGATGGTGAACTTCTATATCAACCTGAGTAAGCTGTGCCTGACTGTCTACCAGCTGCACCCAATGCAGCCCAACACCACCAAGGTACTCACATTCACACTGTCATGCAGATACACTCTGCGGATCCAACCCAACCCAGCCCTGAGGCAACATTCACAACAAGATCACACCTGTACGTTAGTTCTGTCACTCAGTGAATCCAGCCCTGAGACAACATTCACAACAAGATCACACCTGTTAGTTCTGTAATCACATGTGGTATTGTGAAGATGCATCAGTTTGTGTACCTCTGGTGTTTCAACAGAACTTCAGGCCATCTGGAAGCTCTGTGTTACACAACCCTGGAGCCATGTTGTAAGTTCTGTTTTATAACCGTTCACATCATGTCAGTCAGTAACACTTTAGAGGGGGCTGTCTGTGGTCAATACAGAGAGGATCTTTTCATGTCCATATCTTGTTGATGTGAAGATATTAGTGTGTCCCTGTAACAATACTAACTACTGTTAAAAATATATTTTTGTCACTAGTCAGCAACATAGTAATTTATGCTTGTTGGGTCTACCCCGGGTCCTCCCATTTCTGAATAATTTCACACACACAGCCTCTCACAAGTTCCCAACTTTTTTAACACATTTCCAATACATCCAACCTTTTTTTCTTTTTGAACTCTTTCCCTGCTGTCTCCCCCAGTGAGCTGAACAATGCTAAGTTTGAAGTGAGCCAGGTTCACAAGGTGGAGTGTGTTGTCCCCTGGCTCAACAACACACTGCTCTTCTTCACCATCTCACTGCAGCTCTGTCAGCAGCTCAAGGACAAGGTGGGTGACGTCTGCAGCAGCAGGACACTCCATTGGTCCACAGAATATACTCCAGTGAATGAGTAACTGCAGTATTGGCAGAGAGTCAGGCTGGGCCAGTTGGTATGAAGTAGATGATTCACTTTGTTCAAGTGTGTCTTTAACTAAAAGAGATGTCAGACTAAGAAAAGAGAAGCTAGGGAGTGCTGTTTTTGCTTCTGTTAAAAAACATATAAATGGTATGAAAAGGTGCTAATTGGAAACAAGGGTGTAAATAGACTGAGAACCAGAGAAGTTGTGGCTTTACAGTACAAACTACACAAAGACAAGGCACTTATTTTGTGACCTATATTATAAAGCCTTTATTAGATTGGCTTTCCATGACACAATAAATTACATTTTCTTCCTCCTAGATTTCAGTCTTCTCTAGTTTCTGGAACTACCGACCCTTCTAACCAACTGCCGCTAGCTGACCATCAGAATGGCTAGGTGTTTTAACCAACTGCCGCTAGCTGACCATCAGAATGGCTAGGTGTTCTGTCCAAATCCTTCACACCAACCAACCAACCAACCAACCCACCCAGATAAAAGGGATGTCTTGGAAAATATTGTCTGATTGAAGTGGGTTTTGTTTGTATAATTTACAGGAGAACAGCCGGATCAAACTCCATATATATATTACCAGTGTTTAGTATTCCAGGGTTTAGAGCCCATCCATGTGTTACAGCTGCTTTAATTCAGTCCCACATCAACCCCTAGACCCTAACACCTACTCCCTACTTGTGGAGAAAGTATTGGAGGAAGCAATATGGTGGAGCTACTACCATATTACAATATCTATCCAATATATTCAGTGTTTCCCCTAGCTGTGGGGGTGGGGTGGGGGGGTTGTTAGCGCATTGACTGGAAGTCTATGGGAACAGCATGACTTCCAAAGACTTCATCATTGCGCTAATGCAAACTGCATGCCAAGACATAAAAATTGTATTCATGAGTTAATCCGACCTTGGGTAAGTAGAAAAAACCGCTTAATTGCCAAAATCTTCCACTATCCATTTAAAAACCCATCTTGGCAGAAATATACTGTATGTTTAAAAAATAAAATGTCTTTGGAGTGGGGGCAAAGATTGAGTATAGGGGAAACACTGCATTCAGATCTAGACAAGTAGGGACTAGGGGTTGATTTAGGATTGGGTGCATGTATCTCTCTGTGCGTAATCTGTTGTATTTTGTTATATAGTACTAACTTGGTTGGACCTCCCTGTTATATAGTACTAACTTGGTTGGACCTCCCTGTTGTATAGTACTAACTTGGTTGGACCTCCTTGTTGTTTAGTACTAACTTGGTTGGACCTCCCTGTTGTATAGTACTAACTTGGTTGGACCTCCCTGTTGTATAGTACTAACTTGGTTGGACCTCCTTGTTGTATAGTACTAACTTGGTTGGACCTCCCTGTTGTATAGTACTAACTTGGTTGGACCTCCTTGTTGTATAGTACTAACTTGGTTGGACCTCCCTGTTGTATAGTACTAACTTGGACCTCCCTGTTGTATAGTACTAACTTGGACCTCCTTGTTGTATCGTACTAACTTGGACCTCCCTGTTGTATCGTACTAACTTGGACCTCCCTGTTGTATCGTACTAACTTGGACCTCCTTGTTGTATCGTACTAACTTGGACCTCCTTGTTGTATCGTACTAACTTGGACCTCCTTGTTGTATCGTACTAACTTGGACCTCCTTGTTGTATCGTACTGACTTGGTTGGACCTCCTTGTTGTATCGTACTAACTTGAACCTCGTTATGAATCAATGGAGCAACTTGTCTTGTTATTTTTTTTAGTCTGAAACACTCGTTACAGAACACTAACGTTTCTCCTCTCCACATACTTATACCCTTTTCACACTATAATACCGACCAAAAACGTACTGTACTGGCTCGGATATTTTATATTAAAATGTATAATTAAAACACATTATCTTCTCCTACACGGTTCCAGCATCTATGGTTAATGCCTAACCAGGCCAGCTCAGTACAGCTCGGTTTGCTCAGCTCAGTAGTGTGAAAAAGGGTATTGGAAACAAATTTGTCAAGCAGATTGTCATACTGTGGTAAACAATACTGATATTTTGTGTAGACTACACTACTCAGAAGTATACGCTTTGTGACATGAAAACGGTGTTAACGTAAAACTTGTAGGTTTCTGACTCTATACTTGACATAAAGCATCATTCCAAGGAATATAAAGGAAAACGTACATTCTCAGCTTTGAACGGTAAACGGTCATGCCTCCTCAACGCTAAGCTATTATTCTGTTATTAATCGTAGTATCAGTTCATTTCAATGTATGTGTTGTTTGCTAATGTGTTTATTTATTCAATTGTTTATTTTTGCACTTATCTTACTTTGCCTCTGATTCCCTGTGAAGTGAATATCCATTCCAATACTGAACAAAATTAATTATCACTGCAAGTGTTAATAAAAACGTATTTTGAGATATGTAAATGTTGTGGACCATATAATCTTATCTGTGCAATAAAGAGATGTTATACAGGAGTGTTCAGTCAGTCAATAAGGACAGATTCAATACAAAATATTAAAATTTTAGTGAATAATTTTTATAAGGACATTGTAACATTCCAATGTACATGTTTCAACATTGAATTATATATTGTTAATAACTATTAAAATCATGCAATTGTGAATCAATACTACTACAATATCTGTATCATTCCTCATTACATACGTTTAAAGTACATGTTAAACGAAGTACAAAACATTTGGCTTTGTGAACTCGCGTTGATTACACTACATAAAGAGTGGTGCCTAGTTTTTCATGATTCATGAACCCTTAGTGAAAGCCCTTTCCTCTTCTGGTTGTGACACCCAGTGACTTTTCACCTTGCTCTCCTTTCTGGCGTCCTAGCAACATCCACTAGCCGTGCAGGGAACAAGTAAAACTGATTCATATGACCTCCGATGACTTTCCACCATTAGACAACAGCTAAAACAGGTTACCACAGGGAGTGCAACATTTTCCACCAGTCAAAGTAAATAGATAGGACCGGGATGAAAACAAGTTATACAACTCTTGGTTTGGCACACAGATAAAAGTGCAAATATAAAGTGCATCTATCTAAAAAGATGAATACAATTAATTATAAAAGGACTAATTGATTTTCTAAAAGTCGTCATTGTGGAATCTTTGATTCTGTTCCAAGTTTCTTTCAGGAATCCATTCCAAAGTTTTCATGGCCCACTTTGTGTCTTTTAGGCTGTTGGGAAACACGCAGAGAGAGAGAGCAGCAGAAATCATTTATCTTTCAAGGCATCTTTATTCAGAGGAAATACAGTGAACACTGTCCCACACAGATAGGCAGCACACAGACTCCTTCATACAGCCATGCTAAATCTGTGGTCACACTAAAACAGACCCTTTATTGTAGGATGTGATCATGTGAAGGATTTAAACTGATGGGTCTTCACCATAATACCATAGATACCAACAGATCTGAGACCAGGCTGTATATACCAACAGATCTGGGACCAGACTATAGATACCAACAGATCTGGGACCAGGCTATAGATACCAACAGATCTGAGACCAGGCTATAAATAACAACAGATCTGGGACCAGGCTATATACACCACACATTTCTCACAGAAACAGGCCATTACATTACCTGTCAATCGTTGCATTTTATTGAATATTGATTGATTGCTACATTACCTGTTCATCACAGCAGCAGCAGCAGCAGCAGCGGATCAGAACCAGGAGAACAAGCAGCAGAACCATGCCTGAATGGATCAAGATTTGTATTTGTATTTATTAGGGATCCCCATTAGCTCTTCCTGGGGTCCAAACATATTAAAGCACTTACATTACATATAAAACAGTGCATCATATGACATTATTACACCACTACCTATCTACAATACAAAATGTTTAATACCACCATACAACAATATCACAATGTGTGCGTATTTACATTTCCATTTTAGTCATTTAGCAGACGCTCTTATCCAGAGCGACTTACAGTTAGTGAGTGCATACATTTTCATACTGCATGTGTCTATACCCTTGTGTGTCTCTTCACAGTCCCTGTTGTTCCATAAGGTGTAAGATGGACAGTCATTTGTGTGTATGTGTGTGTGCCTGCATGTGTGTGTGTGTGTTCCTACCGATGAAGATGAAGAAGACAGCAAAGGAGGCGATGTCCCAGTCAGACTGGAACAGCTGTTTAGACTGCAGTCTGGACACCACGTCTGCAAACTGATCCTTAAACTCTCCCTGTAGGTTCCTCTGGTCCATGGCTATAGCGGAGTTAGAGGTAGTCTCTTCTCAGTAAGGGTTAACACACTGGAGAAGAAGGAAAACAACATTTTATGGTTTATTATGATTATAAAATACAAGGTTTGTCTGACCATTACTGTAGCTGTTAGGGTTAATACAGGACACACTGTCGCAGTTAGGGTTAATACAGGACACACTGTCGCAGTTAGGGTTAATACAGAACACACTGGGAGAAGAGATGTGGTTCTAATATAGGACACAAGGTTTCTCTGGTCCATAACTGTTGCAGCTAGGGTTAATACAGGACACACTGGAGGAAGAAAACATACAGTGGGGAAAAAAAGTATTTAGTTAGCCACCAATTGTGCAAGTTCTCCCACTTAAAAAGATGAGAGAGGCCTGTCATTTTCATCATAGGTACACGTCAACTATGACAGACAAATTGAGGGAAAAAAATCCAGAAAATCACACTGTAGGATTTTTAATGAATTTATTTGCAAATTATGGTGGAAAATAAGTATTTGGTCACCTACAAACAAGCAAGATTTCTGGCTCTCACAGACCTGTAACTTCTTCTTTAAGAGGCTCCTCTGTCCTCCACTCGTTATCTGTATTAATGGCACCTGTTTGAACTTGTTATCAGTATAAAAGACACCTGTCCACAACCTCAAACAGTCACACTCCAAACTCCACTATGGCCAAGACCAAAGAGCTGTCAAAGGACACCAGAAACAAAATTGTAGACCTGCACCAGGCTGGGAAGACTGAATCTGCAATAGGTAAGCAGCTTGGTTTGAAGAAATCAACTGTGGGAGCAATTATTAGGAAATGGAAGACATACAAGACCACTGATAATCTCCCTCGATCTGAGGCTCCACGTAAGATCTCACCCCGTGGGGTCAAAATGATCACAAGAACGGTGAGCAAAAATCCCTGAACCACACGGGGGGACCTAGTGAATGACCTGCAGAGAGCTGGGACCAAAGTAACAAAGCCTACCATCAGTAACACACTACGCCGCCAGGGACTCAAATCCTGCAGTGCCAGACGTGTCCCCCTGCTTAAGCCAGTACATGTCCAGGCCCGTCTGAAGTTTGCTAGAGTGCATTTGGATGATCCAGAAGAGGATTGGGAGAATGTCATATGGTCAGATGAAACCAAAATAGAACTTTTTGGTAAAAACTCAACTCGTCGTGTTTGGAGGACAAAGAATACTGAGTTGCATCCAAAGAACACCATACCTATTGTGAAGCATGGGGGTGGAAACATCATGCTTTGGGGCTGTTTTTCTGCAAAGGGACCAGGACGACTGATCCGAGCAAAGGAAAGAATGAATGGGGCCATGTATCGTGAGATTTTGAGTGAAAACCTCCTTCCATCAGCAAGGGCATTGAAGATGAAACGTGGCTGGGTCTTTCAGCATGACAATGATCCCAAACACACCGCCCAGGCAACGAAGGAGTGGCTTCGTAAGAAGCATTTCAAGGTCCTGGAGTGGCCTAGCCAGTCTCCAGATCTCAACCCCATAGAAAATCTTTGGAGGGAGTTGAAAGTCCGTGTTGCCCAGCGACAGCCCCAAAACATCACTGCTCTAGAGGAGATCTGCATGGAGGAATGGGCCAAAATACCAGCAACAGTGTGTGAAAACCTTGTGAAGACTTACAGAAAACGTTTGACCTGTGTCATTGCCAACAAAGGGTATATAACAAAGTATTGAGAAACTTTTGTTATTGACCAAATACTTATTTTCCACCATAATTTGCTAATAAATTCATTAAAAATCCTACAATGTGATTTTCTGGAAATTTTTTCCTCATTTTGTCTGTCATAGTTGACGTGTACCTATGATGAAAATTACAGGCCCCTCTCATCTTTTTAAGTGGGAGAACTTGCACAATTGGTGGCTGACTAAATACTTTTTTTCCCCACTGTATGTGGTAATTCTATATAGGCAATGACAATGCACCTGATTGGCTGAATCTGTCGGTTTATAAAGTAGGCCTACATATACAAACCAATGTTATTTCATTGTAAGGGAGATCATGATGCATTTTGAATGTACCTCATAAATTGAATGGATCAGAGTTCAGTGTACCTGCTCTGACCTGGACACAGTACTTGTTTCCTGAACATTTTTACATAGACTACTATGATTAGACATAGATCAACTAGCCAAATACAGACTCTATTTTACATCTAAAAGGACTACATTTGCTGTTAATTTCTTTAACACAAGACCAATATCATTATCGTTATGTTTGACTGACTATCGCATCTTGATGGATTGCAGCGTCAGACTTTACCCTTTCAAATAATATTACAAGTTTACCTATATATCTGACTTCACTTGAACATAAACAGTTACAATAAACTCACATTTTCGGTAGTAATCAAACAAGTTTCTATATGTTTTCCCGAAGTTCATTGTACCTGTAACTCGAACAAGCTCCTGGTGTTTTTTTCTCTTCTTCCGGGTACCTGCCCGACTGACGCACCTGTCACTGTGTGAGTCAATGGGGTTGAGATCTGGAGACTGATTTGCATGGGGCAAAGGTAGGTCGTTTAAATTCTGCTTCATTTCCTCCAAGTAGATCTAAAGGTGTATTGTGATCATGGACTTACTGAATGTGAGAGATATCGCCAATCATTTCCACCATTGCTCTTGGCCATGTCTTTTCAAAGGAAACTTTTATTATGTGACTGGAGGAAATCAAGTCAGAACATTGAATATGTGTGACGCATGTATATAAAACTGGGATTTGTCATAGGTACATTTGTATTTTCATTGCATAGATACACTATAAATGTTATATTTTTTCTATAGTAAACCAGCTGAATTACGTAATATTTTGTCAGGTTATTGATTGAGCTGCAGTCATGATGTATTGTAGTAGCATATTATTTCCACATGAGGCGCTGTTACTTTCCCGGCTACTCATTTTCAGCTTTTCATCTGATCCATTGTTTACGTGGAAGTGAGGTTCGCTCCGTCTTCGGGGTTGTAGTTTCTTCAGGTTGGCACGTCGCTTTCTGTGAAGCTCAGCTGCGATGGCCGTGGTTCCTGCTCAATCTCTCCGGGTTTCGGATATCCGAGACCCGACGGTTCTGTTCGAGCGGTACAACACGGAGGAGATACGCGGCATCGAGCGGAAAGTCCGTGGAGAAATCGAGCACAAGAAGGAGGAACTTCGTCAGATGGTGGGCGAGCGGTACCGCGATCTGATCGATGCCGCCGACACCATCGGAGAGATGAGGCAGTGTTCGGAGAGCGTAGTTACGTCCATCCAGGACATGCACCGCTACTGCCACAAGCTGAAACAGGGGAAAAGCGTTCCCCAAAGCAACAGCAAAGAAGAGGTATGTGGATCCATTGTGAAACTAGCGAGCTAACGTTACTTGGCGGTGGTGATGGCTCACTAGTTCTGTTGATGTAGATAGCAAATGTTCTGTACCATTCCCTGATCCCTTCTGGACAGTTTATGATGATTAGACTCAGACAGGTTCCACCCATTGTGAGATTGTGATTTGAATCGTATATGTAAATGATGGGTGTGTCTGTGTGGGTTTCAATATCTACACCTTATATCTCTGTGTGATTGTCTCTCTGCCTGTCCCTTTACTTACTCATGTAACGTAGCCTATCTTAGGCCATCTGTCTCTCCAGGTCCAGAGGCAGTCCCAGGAGAAGTTCTACACCATGGGCTCTCAGATCAATCACTGTGTATCCCTGTGTTTCTCTCTGTCTGTGCCTGCATGTGTTTATAATCTCTCTCTCTCTGTCTCTCCAGGTCCAGAGGCAGTCCCAGGAGAAGTTCTACACCATGGCCTCTCAGATCAAGCTGCTGCTGGAGATCCCAGAGAGGATTTGGAGTTCCATGGAGGCCTCTCAGTACCTGCAGGCAAATACACTTATTACTAAGACAGTGGACTGTTAGCATTTTCTCAATAGAAGACATGTTATACTTTACCGTCATGCTAATACTAGCTGGTCAATGATCAATGATGTATGTAAACCCACATCGTTGGGCATGGCTAATGCTAACAAACAAACTCTTGGTTTAACGGACACTCCTGACCAGCCAACCGATATTTAATTTCAGAATTGGTTAAGGTCAGGGTTTAGGTAAGGGTCAGTTTTAGAGTTTGGGTAGTCAGGCTGGCAATGGGATGCTGGTGAGAAAAGTCCTTATAGCCTCTCTCTGCTTTACCACCCTCTTTGCTGCAGGCCACCCAGCTTTACCTGCTCTGCTGCCACCTGCACAGACAGCTTCATCTGGAGGCTGGAGGACCACAGTACAGCCCCGTCCTCGCTCGCTTCCCAATCCTGGTCAGGCAGGTGGCTGCTGCTGGACACTTCAGGTGAATGTCATTTTGGATGAGGAAGCCGATTTATCAATTCTGGATTTTCTGTGAAATTGAAGAGCCTACCGAGCAGGGCTAGGAGCACCACATTCAATTTAGGAGCACCACATTCAATTTAGGAGCACCACATTCAATTTAGGAGCACCAGAAAATAAGATGTTTTAAATTGATTGAGATTCAGCCTACAAGAATTCTAGCTACTTATGAAGCACATGTTGTACCCTAGAAACGAATATGTGACACTGTAAAGACAGTTTATTATAAAATATAAAATGTTGATACGAATACCTGTCATTGAAATTACAAAGTCATTTTTGGAGTATTACATTTCTACATTGTGTAAAAGCACTATCTTCCTATTGAGATGCATTACATTGAAAATTGTACACTGTCTCTTTAAAAACGTCAGGTTTGTGATGATGACAAGCAAGAGATCCATTCATTTGATCAGTTATCTCCTAAAAAAGCTATCCCTTTCTTTCTGTGCCCCAAATGTTTGGTAAAGTCCTGTGTAGCTCAGTTGGTAGAGCATGGCGTTTGCAACCCCAGGGTTGAAATGTATGCACTCACTAACTGTAAGTCGCTCTGGATAAGAGCGTCTGCTAAATGACTAAAATGTAAATGTAAAGTTACCAGGTTGTTAGCTAGCTAGCCAATGAGGTAACATGACTGAACAAAGTGTAAACAAACAGTTAATGACAAGCGAGTAGTTTTAGAACAACCCATGGTTTATGAATGTAAAATGAGGTCCCGGTGATTCACATTTACATTTACATTATTTAGCAGACGCTCTTATCCAGAGCGACTTACAAATTGGTGCATTCAACTTAGGATAGCCAGTGGGACAACCACTTAATTTTTTTATGAGGGGGGTGGGGAAGAGAAAAACATTGCGCCGGTAATATGGGTCAGATCTTTTGACCTGGTTCTGCTAGAAACAAGATGTGTTTGCTGTAGTAATGGTGCAACCATGACCCTAATGAATCTGCACTTTCGCTTTCTTCTCTAGGGCACTCTGAAACAACTGTACAGCGAAGCCTTTTTTAGTACAACAATTATTATCTGGGAGATTATTTTCCTAGTTGCACAGTGCTCCCAAAATCCTGCTGAGCTGAAACAAAACAATAATATGCATCTCTCTCTCTCTCTCTTCCACCCCCTCCCCCAGGTCCACCATTTTGCTGGACAGTAAGTCAGTTCTGCGTGGTCGGGCGGTGTCGGACCAGGCCATCGCTGAAGCCCTAGTGTCCACCATGCTCCTGGAGGACAGCTCTCCACGCCAGGCTCTGGCTGACTTCCTCCTGGCTAGGAAGGCCTCTATCCAACAGCAACTCAACCAGCCACAACATGGTACTAGTATATACCAGTGTACCACAACACAATTCTAGATACACCAGTAGTACACAAACATCCTACACAAACAACACTAACATCCTCACACTACAAACACAACATCTACACAATACAACAACATGCCATACACAATACCAACACATCCTACACAATACCAACACAACATCTACACAATACACAAACACAACATCCACACTAAACAACACTACATCCAACATAATCAACACAACACTAATCCTACACAATACACAACACTAACATACTACAAAACAACAATCCTACAAACAACACAACATCCTACACAATACAACACAAATCCACAAACAACAACATCACACAATACACAACACACACATAACAACATACAACAATACACAACACAACATCCTACAAATAAAACACACACAATACAAACACACATACACACAAACACACAATACAACAACACTAACAATCAAACACACATCACAAACAACAACACAAATCCTACACAATACAACACAACATCCTACACAATACAAACCAACACTACACACCAACATCCTACAAACACACACAACCCACAAACACCTACATCCTACACAATACACAACCCTACATCCTACATAATACAACACAACATCCTACACAATACACAACCCTACATCCTACACAACATCCTACACAATACACAACCCTACATCCTACACAACACTACATCCTACACAATACAACACTACATCCTACACAATACACAACACAACATCTTACACAATACAACACAACATCCTACACAATACACAACTCAACATCCTACACAATACACAACCCTACATCCTACACAACACAACATCCTACACAATACAACACTACATCCTACACAATACAACACTACATCCTATACAATACACAACACTACATCCTACACAATACAACACAATACACTACACAACATCCCAGCTAGTCAACAGGCAGACCACAACATGGTGTTATACCAAAAATAATACAAATATTACAGCTGTGACACTTCTACTCAAAGTCAACATGCAATTTTATCACACTTTCATGATTGCATGTTGGGATGTTTTTGTTAAACCACTTAATCTCTGTTCAGTGGACTGGTGTGGTGTTTCAGGTTTACAGCCATGACTGTCTGTGTTCCAGGTGCTGGTATTAAGGCCCAGGTGTGTAGCCTGGTGGAGCTCCTTGTGACCACTCTGTACCAGGCCTACGCTGTCTTCTACGTACCCCCAGAAGGGAGTCCCCGGCTGGGGGACGGAGGGCTGAGCTCCGGCCTCCTCTTCACCACTCTGGAGAACGTCACCTCCACCACGCCTGCAGGTACATTACCTATGATGCCTTGCAAGAAATGGTTGAAGGAAAAAGTACTTTCATCCCATTTTAGTCCCAAACTGCTCTTGAGCCCCAAAGGGTACCAAAACATTTCTGCAGCATTGAAGATCCCCAAGAACACAGTGGCCTCCATCATTCTTAAATGGAAGAAGTATGGAACCACCAAGACTCTTCCTAGAGCTGGCCTCCCGACCAAACTGAGCAATCGGGGGAGAAGGGCCTTGGTCAGGGAGGTGACTAAGAACCTGATGGTCACTCTGACAGAGCTCCAGAGTTCCTCTGTGGAGTTGGGAGAACCTTCCAGAAGGACAACCATCTCTGCAGCACTCCACCAATCAGGCCTTTATGGTAGAGTGGCCAGACGGAAGCCACTCCTCGATAAAAGGCACATGACAGCCCGCTTGGAGTTTGCCAAAAGGCACCTAAAGGACTCTCAGACCATGAGAAACAAGTTTCTCTGGTCTGATGAAACCAAGATTGAACTCTTTGGCCTGAATGGCAAGCGTCACGTCTGGAGGAAACCTGGCACCATCCTTACGGTGAAGCATGGTGGTGGCAGCATAATGCTGTGGGGATGTTTTTCAGCGGCAGGGACTGAGAGACTAGTCAGGATCGAGGGAAAGATGAACGGAGCAAAGTACAGAGAGATCCTTGATGAAAATCTGCTCCAGAGCGCTCAGGACCTCAGACTGGGGCAAAGGTTCACCTTCCTATAGGACAACGACCCTAAGCACACAGCCAAGACAACGCAGAAGTGACTTCGGGACAAGTCTCTGAGTACTTATGTAAATGTGATATTTCCGTTTTTATTTTTATACATTTGCAAACATTTCTAAAAACCTGTTTTTGCTTTGTCATTATGGGGTATTGTGTGTAGATTGATGAGGGAAAACCAACTATTTAATCAATTTTAGAATAAGGCTGTAACATAACAAAATGTGGAAAAAGTCAAGGGGTCTGAATACTTTCTGAATGCACTATATATCCGACAGTATACCATGGGTATATTGTAAAGACACAAAAATACTTGTTTACGGTTAGATTTTTGTTGGTAACCAGTTTATAATAGCAAAAAGGCACAATATACCACCCCACCCCGGCCTTATTGCGTAAGTATAGAACTGTTGACATCTTGTGTGAACCTGTCCTTCTGGTCTCACCTGTGTCCCCTGTTGTCCAGGTAAAGGGAGGCGTGTCCTTCAGGAGGAGGTGAGTACAGGTAGCTGGTTCAAGTACCTCCCCTCCTCCATCACTGAGTTCCAGCCCGCCCTCAGAACCCTGGCTCAGCCAATCCAGAGAGAGCAGCTCAGAGACACCCTACAACAGTGGATCAACATGTAAGACATCATCCAATCAATGCCCTTTACTTTGCTTATAGAAAAAGCTGCCATATTTCAGCCAATCACTGCCCTTCATTTCAACAGCTGATATTCAATAGCTATCATAATCAGCTGTAGAACAAGAATGAGATTAGTAAGGAGAGTCGGTGATCTGTGACCAGAAAAATCCAGGTTCTTCAGGAACTATATCTGCTCTGGGAACTAAATGGACCAAAATGGAACGGGGGTCAATGGAAATGATTAGAACAGCTGACTCCTATGTGTTCTATCTGGCCTTTTTTCTAGGCTCTATCTCAATTCATCTGGCCTCGATTCCTCACATCCTATTGGAGAAAAAGGTCCAAGGTCCCTCCCTTGGACCTTCTCCTCCAATGCATTTATAGAAGGAGGCGAGTAACCGAGCAAAGTTTGAATTAAGAAAGAGCCGGACGGTAAATCACAAACCTACCAACTCGCTCGGAGGGCCCTCCGTTGTCACGTGTTGCTGACGAAACTCCGAGGGTGACTTCCAGACAGTGGTGAGGTGATTTTAATAAACCCTTCAACTTGGAGACACACTCGTGACTTGAATGATGTAATTCATGTTCCACTTGTTAAATAATATAAAACGAGCATGAATTCTAATGAACAAAAACTCCCTGTTGTTTTACAAGATATAAACCTCAGTAACAGGTAACCCTTTAAACTTGTATAGGGGTTGAAAATGGCAGATTTGGACACTGATAAGCATCTAAATTGGAACACAGTGGCTGTACAGTAACATGCTATACATGACGTCAGAGCTCAGCGGCTGTACAGTAACATGCTATACATGACGTCAGAGCTCAGTGGCTGTACAGTAACATGCTATACATGACGTCAGAGCTCAGCGGCTGTACAGTAACATGCTATACATGACGTCAGAGCTCAGCGGCTGTACAGTAACATGCTATACATGACGTCAGAGCTCAGCGGCTGTACAGTAACATGCTATACATGACGTCAGAGCTCAGCGGCTGTACAGTAACATGCTATACATGACGTCAGAGCTCAGCGGCTGTACAGTAACATGCTATACATGACGTCAGAGCTCAGCGGCTGTACAGTAACATGCTATACATGACGTCAGAGCTCAGTGGCTGTACAGTAACATGCTATACATGACGTCAGAGCTCAGTGGCTGTACAGTGACATGCTATACATGACGTCAGAGCTCAGTGGCTGTACAGTAACATGCTATACATGACGTCAGAGCTCAGTGGCTGTACAGTAACATGCTATACATGACGTCAGAGCTCAGTGGCTGTACAGTAACATGCTATACATGACGTCAGAGCTCAGCGGCTGTACAGTAACATGCTATACATGACGTCAGAGCTCAGCGGCTGTACAGTAACATGCTATACATGACGTCAGAGCTCAGCGGCTGTACAGTAACATGCTATACATGACGTCAGAGCTCAGTGGCTGTACAGTAACATGCTATACATGACGTCAGAGCTCAGTGGCTGTACAGTAACATGCTATACATGACGTCAGACCTCTGGCTCTGTGCTTCACAGCTCTGTATGGGTTTTGACTGACAGCCGTTCTGAACTTCAGCACCGCGCGTGACAACAAGTTGCCCCAATCCCTCCCGCTAATGTTGTTGACTGAGTGAGGGAAATGCTGTAAATTAAGAGGACTCTATGTATTTAGAAAGAGGAGACATTGAGGACTATAGTAAATACTGCTTTGATGTCATATTAGAAAGCCAAAGATCCGTGAGTCTAAATGTTTACATTTCCATATCATCAAACTCATGTTATATACAGTGTCAACGTGTATGATCACTACGTTTGATACCCTGGGTTGTCCTGAACAGAATGAGCCTATGTTTGTTGTATTGTGAAGAAAATTGAAACGCACTCATGACACCATTCTATGTCAAAATTACAATCTGCTTCTCTGAATTGCCTTGTGAAAGCCTAACACTGTAATATCCTATTTTATAACTTAGCTAGTCATGTTGGCAATAGAACAAGCTTTCAAATGATGCCCACCTGACCCAGATTGCGATTTATAATGGACCAATATTTGGATTGCGTAAACAACAACAGTAATTGTGTAAAGGCGGAGATGCAGGGCTGTGTTCCAAACAAAACAACTACAAGTGTCCTTGCTCTAGTTCCTCAACAGCACAGCTAGGAGAGCTCAAAAAAAGCACCTTATAGTTGAAGACTTTGAGTCATAAAAGTGCATTAGAATTAGTTAGGAACTGTGAACACTTTGGAGAGGTGTGTGGTCACTTGGAGACACCAGTTAGTCCTCTCACTCAAATCCTTTAAAAATGTTTGTCTTATGTTGCACCTACAACACATTTTACAGGAATATTATCATGTTACTGAATATATCCAGACTTTTTCAGATTTCATTATCAACAAATACGGCTAAAAGTACATGTAAAATGCACATAAAATCAACAGTGTGATTTTTGGATTCAGTCTTGTATCAGGTGAACTGTTGTGTCCTCAATTTTGGTAGAATAATTTTCCCATAATCTCCCAACTGTTCCCTTTTAATTGTTACCATGGTTATGCATTCCATATTTATACAGTAAGAAACATTTCAATGTAGCCCAATCCATATAGGCCAATTTCCAAGAGTGTAAAGGGGTTAAACATTTAATTTGGGAGGTATTTCGTATTTTACTTTTGTCCTTTGTCCTTGTTTACTTGTGTTTACTTGTTGTATTATTTCTCCCAGTTGTAAGGAGGACATCTGTAACGGTGTTAGCAGTCTGGTGGTCTATGTGAATAATCTGAAGGGCCTAGCCTCCATCAGAGATGCCGTGTGGGACCTCCTCTCCACCGACTCCATCAGTCAACACTGGAGCTTCGTCTGCCAGCGGCTGTTAGAGCGCCCCCTAGCGCTGTGGGAGGACTTCCTACAGCAGCTCTTCCTACAACGCCTGCAGGTAGACCAGCTGCCGCCCGTTTCCAGGACACAGAGTTAAACCTAGTCCCTTGACTACCCTCGTCCCCAGGCCTTTGATTGTGGAACGCTTGGAAGGCTGTGGTGTGGGTTCCTGGAGGAGGAGCAACCTTCTGTTGAGAATCTCTGGTTGACCATGCTGTTCAAGTCCAGGACTAAGACTAACGCTGTGTCCCTGTTATAAAAAGCACAGTGGCTGTACAGTAACATGCTATACATGAACGTCAGAGCTCAGCGGCTGTACAGTAACATGCTATACATGACGTCAGAGCTCAGTGCTGTACAGTAACATGCTATACATGGACGTCAGAGCTCAGCGGCTGTACAGTAACATGCTATACATGACGTCAGAGCTCAGCGGCTGTACAGTAACATGCTATACATGACGTCAGAGCTCAGGGCTGTACAGTAACATGCTATACATGACGTCAGAGCTCAGCGGCTGTACAGTAACATGCTATACATGACGTCAGAGCTCAGCGGCTGTACAGTAACATTGCTATACATGACGTCAGAGCTCAGCGGCTGTACCAGTAACATGCTATACATGACGTCAGAGCTCAGTGGCTGTACAGTAACATGCTATACATGACGTCAGAGCTCAGTGGCTGTTACAGTGACATGCTATACATGACGTCAGAGTCAGTGGCTGTACAGTAACATGCTATACATGACGTCAGAGCTCAGTGGCTGTACAGTAACATGCTATACATGACGTCAGAGCTCAGTGGCTGGACAGTAAACATGCTATACATGACGTCAGAGCTCAGCGGCTGTACAGTAACAGGCTATACATGACGTCGAGCTCAGCGGCTGTACAGTAACATTGCTATACATGACGTCAGAGCTCAGCGGCTGTACAGTAACATGCTATACATGACGTCAGAGCTCAGTGGCTGTACAGTAACATGCTATACATGACGTCAGAGCTCAGTGGCTGTACAGTAACATGCTATACATGACGTCAGACCTCTGGCTCTGTGCTTCACAGCTCTGTATGGGTTTTGACTGACAGCCGTTCTGAACTTCAGCACCGCGCGTGACAACAAGTTGCCCCAATCCCTCCCGCTAATGTTGTTGGACTGAGTGAGGGAAATGCTGTAAATTAAGAGGACTCTATGTATTTAGAAAGAGGAGACATTGAGGACTATAGTAAATACTGCTTTGATGTCATATTAGAAAGCCAAAGATCCGTGAGTCTAAATGTTGACATTTCCATATCATCAAACTCATGTTATATACAGTGTCAACGTGTATGATCACTACGTTTGATACCCTGGGTTGTCCTGAACAGAATGAGCCTATGTTTGTTGTATTGTGAAGAAAATTGAAACGCACTCATGACACCATTCTATGTCAAAATTACAATCTGCTTCTCTGAATTGCCTTGTGAAAGCCTAACACTGTAATATCCTATTTTATAACTTAGCTAGTCATGTTGGCAATAGAACAAGCTTTCAAATGATGCCCACCTGACCCAGATTGCGATTTATAATGGACCAATATTTGGATTGCGTAAACAACAACAGTAATTGTGTAAAGGCGGAGATGCAGGGCTGTGTTCCAAACAAAACAACTACAAGTGTCCTTGCTCTAGTTCCTCAACAGCACAGCTAGGAGAGCTCAAAAAAAGCACCTTATAGTTGAAGACTTTGAGTCATAAAAGTGCATTAGAATTAGTTAGGAACTGTGAACACTTTGGAGAGGTGTGTGGTCACTTGGAGACACCAGTTAGTCCTCTCACTCAAATCCTTTAAAAATGTTTGTCTTATGTTGCACCTACAACACATTTTACAGGAATATTATCATGTTACTGAATATATCCAGACTTTTTCAGATTTCATTATCAACAAATACGGCTAAAAGTACATGTAAAATGCACATAAAATCAACAGTGTGATTTTTTTGGATTCAGTCTTGTATCAGGTGAACTGTTGTGTCCTCAATTTTGGTCGAATAATTTTCCCATAATCTCCCAACTGTTCCCTTTTAATTGTTACCATGGTTATGCATTCCATATTTATACAGTAAGAAACATTTCAATGTAGCCCAATCCATATAGGCCAATTTCCAAGAGTGTAAAGGGGTTAAACATTTTAATTTGGGAGGTATTTCGTATTTTACTTTTGTCCTTTGTCCTTGTTTACTTGTGTTTACTTGTTGTATTATTTCTCCCAGCTGTAAGGAGGACATCTGTAACGGTGTTAGCAGTCTGGTGGTCTATGTGAATAATCTGAAGGGCCTAGCCTCCATCAGAGATGCCGTGTGGGACCTCCTCTCCACCGACTCCATCAGTCAACACTGGAGCTTCGTCTGCCAGCGGCTGTTAGAGCGCCCCCTAGCGCTGTGGGAGGACTTCCTACAGCAGCTCTTCCTACAACGCCTGCAGGTAACCAGCTGCCCCGTTTCCAGGACACAGATTAAACCTAGTCCTGGACTAACCTCGTCCCCAGGCTTTGATTGTGGACGCTTGGAAGGCTGTGTGTGGTTCCTGGAGGAAGGAGCACCTTCTGTGGAGAATCTCTGTTGACCATGCTTTTCAGTCCAGGACTAAGACTAATCTGTGTCCATGTTATAAAATAGAAAGGAGAGCTGACAGTTTAGATGTTGTTATTAATATTATGTTGATATTCTCTTGTCATGTGTATTCTGTACACCCTGCTCCTCTCATTACATTGAGCTGTTCCTATTCAGACAGTGGGGAACCTTTAGAAACAGGTTTAGCAACAGGTCTGTTTCCATTCAGACAGTGGGGAACCTTTAGAAACAGGTTTAGCAACAGGTCTGTTTCCATTCAGACAGTGGGGAACCTTTAGAAAATGGACAACAGGTTTAACCTGCTGATTAACTAGCTAGTAGCTACAGCTGACTTCTGTCTTCTAGCTATCTAGTAAACTAATTATCCTCTCCAGAATAGTTATAATCTGCTGACTGTCTCTCTCTCTCTCTCTCTCTCTCTCTCTCTCTCTCTCTCTCTCTCTCCATCCATTCTCTCCCTTCTTCCTCTCTCCTTCTCCCCTATTTCTTCACTCTCGCTCATCTCATCTCCTTTTCTACCCCCCCCTTCCATCTTCCTCCCTCCCTTCTCTCCCCCAGGCGATCACCCAGGAGGGTACAGAGACTATCTCCACCAGCTGCAGACAGCTCCTCTCCTCTGCCCTGAGAGATCTAGAGGGCCAGCCCACCCCACCAGGCCCCAGCTCCAGCCCTCCCCTCCCCAGCAGAGGTGCTCTCTACGAGGCAGACGTGGCCTCCTTCCTGTGGTCCGAGGCCCAGGGGGACCTACTGAGCGACGCTGCCTGGGTCAGTGTATCCCAACGGGGGCCACAGCACCGGAGCGGCCTGGCCATGAAGACCCAGGCCCTGACACCCTGTGTCCAAATATTCTGTTCCTCACTGGATGCTGCTCTCAGAGCCAGACTGGACGACGTGCAGCACTACCTGCCCTCTGATAACACAGGTAGGGAGGCAGATGGATAACGTGCAGCACTACCTGTCCTCTGATAACACAGGTAGGGAGGCAGATGGATAACGTGCAGCACTACCTGTCCTCTGATAACACAGGTAGGGAGGCATATGGATAACGTGCAGCACTACCTGTCCTCTGATAACACAAGTAGGGAGGCAGATGGATAACGTGCAGCACTACCTGTCCTCTGATAACACAGGTAGGGAGGCAGATGGATAACGTGCAGCACTACCTGTCCTCTGATAACACAGGTAGGGAGGCAGATGGATAACGTGCAGCACTACCTGTCCTCTGATAACACAGGTAGGGAGGCATATGGATAACGTGCAGCACTACCTGTCCTCTGATAACACAAGTAGGGAGGCAGATGGATAACGTGCAGCACTACCTGTCCTCTGATAACACAGGTAGGGAGACAGATGGATAACGTGCAGCACTACCTGTCCTCTGATAACACAGGTAGGGAGACAGATGGATAACGTGCAGCACTACCTGTCCTTTGATAACACAGGTAGGGAGACAGATGGATAACATGCAGCACTACCCTGTCCTCTGATAACACAAGTAGGGAGACAGATGGATAACGTGCAGCACTACCTGTCCTCTGATAACACAGGTAGGGAGACAGATGGATAACGTGCAGCACTACCCTGTCCTCTGATAACACAGGTAGGGAGACAGATGGATAACGTGCAGCACTACCTGTCCTCTGATAACACAGGTAGGGAGTCAGATGGATAACGTGCAGCACTACCTGTCCTCTGATAACACAGGTAGGGAGACAAATGGATAACGTGCAGCACTACCTGTCCTCTGATAACACAAGTAGGGAGGCAGATGGATAACGTGCAGCACTACCTGTCCTCTGATAACACAGGTAGGGAGACAGATGGATAACGTGCAGCACTACCCTGTCCTCTGATAACACAGGTAGGGAGACAGATGGATAACGTGCAGCACTACCTGTCCTCTGATAACACAGGTAGGGAGTCAGATGGATAACGTGCAGCACTACCTGTCCTCTGATAACACAGGTAGGGAGACAAATGGATAACGTGCAGCACTACCTGTCCTCTGATAACACAGGTAGGGAGACAGATGGATTATTGGTGGTCCCATTAAAATAAACTCATTTTACCAGGGATACCTGGTCTAAGGATAATCTAATTATAAACTAATGATAATCTAATGATAATCTTTTTCTCGTAAGGTGCACTACTTAACATGAAGTCATCAATATCGTCTGCATCTCAAATTAAACCCATTTCTCCCTATAGTGCACTTCTTTTGACCAGAGGTTCTCCTCCTCCTCTCTCTTCCTCCTCCTCTCTCTTCCTCCTCCTCTCTCTTCCTCCTCCTCCTCCATCTCTTCCTCCTCCATCTCTTCCTTCTCCTCCTCTTTTCTCTCCTCCTGCCTCCTCTTCTCTCCTCCTCTCATTTTTCCTCCTCCTCCTCCATCTCTTCCTTCTCCTCTTCCATTTCTTCCTTCTCCTCCTCCTCTTCCTCATCCTCCTCCATTTCTTCCTTCTCCTCTTCTTCCTCCTCCTCCTCCATTTCTTCCTTCTCCATCTCCTCTTCCTCCTCCATCTCTTCTTCCTCCTCCTCCATCTCTTCCTCCTCCTCCTCCTCCATTCTTTCCTTCTCCTCCTCCATCTCTTCCTCCTCCTCCATCTCTTCCTCCTCCATCTCTTCTCCTCCTCCTCCTCCATTTCTTCCTTCTCCTCCTCCTCTTCCTTCTCCTCCTCCTCTTCATCCACAGATCCCCAGGTCCTCTCAGTCTCCTTCCCCATAGCCCCAGGCTCTGGGTCCAGTAGTTGTTCAGGTTCCGGGACAGTCTCATCATTCGACCGGTTCACAGACGCCGCTGCCGTAGAGGAGACCCTACGTGAACGCTGTCTGGCGTGCGTACGTGACATCATCACCTGCGTGCGCTCAGAACTGAGGGCGGCCTCACCTGGCGTCACCTCACCTGTTGGCTCCTCCCCCAGACCCGCCCGTCTCAGCTCGGTGCTCTTCATGGCCCGCCTCTGTCAGTCCCTCAGCAAGCTCTGCCCCAACCTCAGGCAGTGCATCCTGGGTAAACAGGGCGGGGCTGCGGCTGACCCTGTCACCAGGGGAACACCCCGCCAAAGCAGGAAGTTGGGGAAGGCGGCTGCCAAGGCGACGGAGGTTAGCCCCGCCCAGGCTAAGTGGGCGTGTCTGAAAGAGGAGCTTCTGGATGTCAGTATGGAAGCATATCGGATATGGAGCTCCACCCTCTCTAAGGTGAGAGGGGTTACTTGGAGGGATAGTTAACCACTAAATCAAAGTTTGTCAGAAATTTCCAGGGGCTGTTTAAACATCATTTACATTTACATTTTAGTCATTTAGCAGACGCTCTTATCCAGAGCGACTTACAGTTATCTCAGAGTTGGAGTGTGGCTCTAGGATCAGTATTGCCTTTTAGATCAAAATTAATTACATGGACAGGTGGGACCTGATCCTAGATCAGAACTACTCTATGACTCTGAATACTGGCCCTTTTAATAATAAAAATATTTTTTTTTTTTTTTTTTTTTTTCGATTACATGGATAGGGGGACCTGATCCTAGATCGGAACTCCTACTCTATGACTCTGAATACTGGCCCTTTTAGATTACATGGATAGGTGGGGACCTGATCCTAGATCAGCACTCCTACTCTACGACTCTGAATACTGGCCCTTTTAGATTACATAGATAGGTGGGGACCTGATCCTAGATCAGCACTCCTACTCTACGACTCTGAATACTGGCCCTTTTAGATTACATGGATTGGTGGGGACCTGATCCTAGATCAGCACTCCTACTCTACGACTCTGAATACTGGCCCTTTTAGATTACATGGATAGGGAGACCTGATCCTAGATCAGAACTCTGAGAGGCTTGATACATACAGAGTTTTGGGGTCTGAGAATGTCAGACAAACTGAAATCACAAGCCAGTCTTTTTAGACCGAGCTGTCCTTCATTTGTTGTCATGTCTTTAGTAACTTCCCCCCTGGTCTCCCTCTCTCTCCAAGGCGCTGGTGGGTCGGTTTGCGACCTCGCTGCACGTAGAGTCCGCCGGGGCTATCCTAGCAAACGCCACCAACTGGGAGGAGCTAGAGATCCAGGAAGAGGCGGAGTCAGGGAGCAGCGTCACCTCCAAAATCAGAATTCCTGTCCAGGTGAGAGTGATGTTATGACATCATCGCTCAGCTCAGCAGGACATGACCAGTAGTGTCTCTCAGACAGGAGAAACTCTCAGCAGGACATGACCAGTAGTGTCTCAGACAGGAGAAAGGTTTTTTAAAATAGAAAATGAACATTGAGATGGTACAATATTATCTCTCTCTCTCTCCCTCCATAGCCGTCGTGGTTTGTCCAGTCTCTGCTGTTCCAGCTGTGTCTGGAGGTGAATGGTGTAGGGGGACATGCTCTGCCCCGACCCACCCTACAGGAGTTACTACAAGGCTGCATGGACCTGGTGCTGCAGGAGTACCAGAGCCTCACACACACCACACAGGACAAGGTAACACACACACAGGACAAGGTAACACACACACCACACACACACACACACACACAGGACAAGGTAACACACACACACTCCCTCACACACCACACAGGACAAGGTAACACACACACACCCTCACACACACACACACACACACACACACACACACACACACACACACACAGGACAAGGTAACACACACACACCCTCACACACCACACAGGACAAGGTAACACACACACACACACACACACACACACACACACACACACACACACACACACACACACACAGGACAAGGTAACACACACACACACCCTCACACACCACACAGGACAAGGTAACACACACACCCTCACACACCACACAGGACAAGGTAACACACACACACCGCACACATGGCTGACTTAACACTGTAATCATATACAGTGAGGGGAAAAAGTATTTGATCCCCTGCTGATTTTGTACGTTTGCCCACTGACAAAGAAATGATCAGTCTATAATTTTAATGGTAGGTTTATTTGAACAGTGAGAGACAGAATAACAACAAAAATGTTATAAATTGATTTGCATTTTAATGAGGGAAATAAGTATTTGACCCCCTCTCAATCAGAAAGATTTCTGGCTCCCAGGTGTCTTTTATACAGGTAATGAGCTGAGATTAGGAGCACACTCTTAAAGGGAGTGCTCCTAATCTCAGCTTGTTACCTGTATAAAAGACACATGTCCACAGAAGCAATCAATCAATCAGATTCCACTCTCCACCATGGCCAAGACCAAAGAGCTCTCCAAGGATGTCAGGGACAAGATTGTAGACCTACACAAGGCTGGAATGGGCTACAAGACCATCGCCAAGCAGCTTGGTGAGAAGGTGACAAGTTGGTGCGATTATTCGCAAATGGAAGAAACACAAAAGACCTGTCAATCTCCCTCGGCCTGGGGCTCCATGCAAGATCTCACCTCGTGGAGTTGCAATGATCATGAGGAATTAGCCCAGAACTACACGGGAGGATCTTGTCAATGATCTCAAGGCAGCTGGGACCATAGTCACCAAGAAAACAATTGGTAACACACTACGCCGTGAAGGACTGAAATCCTGCAGCGCCCGCAAGGTCCCCCTGCTCAAGAATGGCACAGTTTGCCAATGAACATCTGAATGATTCAGAGGAGAACTGGGTGAAAGTGTTGTTGTCAGATGAGACCAAAATCGAGCTCTTTGGCATCAACTCAACTCGCCGTGTTTGGAGGAGGAGGAATGCTGCCTATGACCCCAAGAACACCATCCCCACCGTCAAACATGGAGGTGGAAACATTATGCTTTGGGGGTGTTTTTTTTTTTTCTGCTAAGGGGACAGGACAACTTCACCGCATCAAAGGGACGATGGACGGGGCCATGAACCGTCTAATCTTGGGTGAGAACCTCCTTCCCTCAGCCAGGGCATTGAAAATGGGTCGTGGATGGGTATTCCAGCATGACAATGACCCAAAACACACGGCCAAGGCAACAAAGGAGTGGCTCAAGAAGAAGCACATCAAGGTCCTGGAGTGGCCTAGTCAGTCTCCAGACCTTAATCCCATAGAAAATCTGTGGAGGGAGCTGAAGGTTCGAGTTGCCAAACGTCAGCCTCGAAACCTTAATGACTTGGAGAAGATCTGCAAATTGGAGTGGGACAAAATCCCTCCTGAGATGTGTGCAAACCTGGTGGCCAACTACAAGAAACGTCTGACCTCTGTGATCGCCAACAAGGGTTTTGCCACCAAGTACTAAGTCATGTTTTGCAGAGGGGTCAAATACTTATTTCCCTCATTAAAATGCAAATCAATTTATAACATTTTTGACATGCATTTTTCTGGATTTTTGTTTTGTTATTCTGTCTCTCACTGTTCAAATAAACCTACCGTCTCTCTCTCTCGCTTTCCCCAGGACTGTCCGTTCCCTATGACCCAGAACAGATCTCTACAGCTGTTGTTTGACCTGAGATATCTCACTGCTACCCTGAGTACTAGACTAGAGGAGGGCAAGGGCTTCCGCTCTCACCAAGACCCCAGGTACACACACACACACACACACACTTTCAATGCCCTGGTATCACTGGTTGTAACATTAACCTACTGGTCTCTCTGTATGTTACAGGGTCTACTAACCTCCTGGTCTCTCTGTATGTTACAGGGTCTAGTAACCTCCTGGTCTCTCTGTATGTTACAGGGTCCTGTAACCTCCTGGTCTCTCTGTATGTTACAGGGTCTACTAACCTCCTGGTCTCTCTGTATGTTACAGGGTCCTGTAACCTCCTGGTCTCTCTGTATGTTACAGGGTCCTGTAACCTCCTGGTCTCGCTGTATGTTACAGGGTCTACTAACCTCCTGGTATCTCTGTATGTTACAGGGTCCTGTAACCTCCTGGTCTCTCTGTATGTTACAGGGTCCTGTAACCTCCTGGTCTCTCTGTATGTTACAGGGTCCTGTAACCTCCTGGTCTCTCTGTATGTTACAGGGTCTAGTAACCTCCTGGTCTCTCTGTATGTTACAGGGTCTACTAACCTCCTGGTCTCTCTATATGTTACAGGGTCCTGTAACCTCCTGGTCTCTCTGTATGTTACAGGGTCCTGTAACCTCCTGGTCTCTCTGTATGTTACAGGATCCTGTAACCTCCTGGTCTCTCTGTATGTTACAGGGTACAGTAACCTCCTGGTCTCTCTGTATGTTACAGGGTCTACTAACCTCCTGGTCTCTCTATATGTTACAGGGTCCTGTAACCTCCTGGTCTCTCTGTATGTTACAGGGTCCTGTAACCTCCTGGTCTCTCTGTATGTTACAGGGTCTACTAACCTCCTGGTATCTCTGTATGTTACAGGGTCTACTAACCTCCTGGTCTCTCTGTATGTTACAGGGTCTACTAACCTCCTGGTCTCTCTGTATGTTACAGGGTCCAGTAACCTCCTGGTCTCGCTGTATGTTACAGGGTCTACTAACCTCCTGGTCTCTCTGTATGTTACAGGGTCCTGTAACCTCCTGGTCTCTCTGTATGTTACAGGGTCCAGTAACCTCCTGGTCTCTCTGTATGTTACAGGGTCCAGTAACCTCCTGGTATCTCTGTATGTTACAGGGTCCTGTAACCTCCTGGTCTCTCTGTATGTTACAGGGTCCTGTAACCTCCTGGTCTCTCTGTATGTTACAGGGTCTACTAACCTCCTGGTCTCTCTGTATGTTACAGGGTCCAGAAGGTTTGTGATTCGCTGGAGAGCTACATTGACCCCTTTGACCTGGATGTGTTCACGCCGCCACTCAACAGCAACCTCAACCGCCTATCACAGAGGAGTTCGGTACGAATGGCCCCGCCCCCTGACACTCTAATGTGAATAGAGACTAAAAGAAATCATGATATCAGTGTACAGTAGGGTTTTCCTGGGTTATCCACAGTGTATTGATAATGTGGTATCAATGTACAGTAGGGTTTTCCTGGGTTATCCACAGTGTATTGGTCATGTGGTAACTTTGGTCACAATTTGTAGCGATCTGAGGTGCTGTTGGGGATTCAGATGTTGTTAATGTTGTGTTAACGTAATGATAATGTTGTGTTAACGTAATGATAATGTTGTGTTAACGTAATGATAATGTTGTGATGTATTATATTATGCCATTGTCAGGTTTTGGTTGTGTTAACATTGTTATAACATTATGTTGTGTTAACATTTAGCATTTTAGTCATTTAGCAGACGCTCTTATCCAGAGCGACTTCCAATTAGTGAGTGCATACATTTTTCATACTGGCCCCCCCGTGAGAAACGAACCCACAACCCTGGCGTTGCAAGCGCCATGCTCTACCAACTGAGCTACAGGAGGGCCATTGTGATAATGTTGTAATAACATTGTGATAATGTTGTAAAGGGAATTTCCAGGTCAACAAAAAATAGAGAAATCGTTGATAACATCAATCAAAATAATTTCAGTTTAGTTACGAACTGCGACTGGTTAGACACCTCCAGCACAGTAGCAGAGAAAATGTCTAACTTGGCCTGCTCTGAGAAGGCCATTATATCGTAATCACACAGCACCAAATGTTCTGTAAACACCAGCCCAGAGGCTTGTAGGAATTCTAAACAACTTTGTCAGCTGCTACAGATCACAGTGTTACAGAATACAATAACAATCAGTGTCCTTGGTCCAGACCTCCAGTCTGATGTCAGTCACTATCAACAGATATGAGAACAATCCATAACATACAGCATGGAGTCTAGAGACCATCAACCCACACCCTGTACAACCACAACACTGGAAATCATGTGTGTTACACACAGGGGAGATATAGCAATATGCTAAGCGTTGTGTTAATGACTTTATCCACTTTAAATGTCCCCATTCCAAACACTGTGTTAATGTTGTGATAATGTCGTGTTGTTCCAGGTGTTGTTGGGGTTGTTGATGGGGACAGAGAAGCAGTTTGTTTCCCGTGGTAACAGCGTGGGCTCTCAGGAACCCTACAACATCCTGCCGCTGGCCAACAGCCAGATCAGGTGAGAACACACACACACACACACACACACACAAACACCCGCACATATACACACCAGGGCCCATAATCACTAAAAAGTGTTTCCGAATAGGAGTGCTGATATTGGATCAGATTTCCCTTTTAGATCATAGTGAATAAGATGGCATGGACAGGGGGACCTGATCCTAGATCAGCACTTCTACTCTGAGATGCCTTATGAATAGGCTACAGGTCCAGAAGTGTTTTAACCCAGTACCCTGTCTCTGGTCTCCAGGTTAGAATAGGCTACAGGTCCAGAAGTGTTTTAACCCAGTAGCCTGTGTCTGGTCTCTCTGTTCTCCAGGTTAGAATAGGCTACAGGTCCAGAAGTGTTTTAACCCAGTACCCTGTGTCTGGTCTATGTTCTCCAGGTTTGGGCTGTTACCTCTAAGCATGACCAACTCCCGTAAGACCAAGTCCTCCACACAGGGAGCTGACATCACATGCCCACTGGTGAGTCACACGGACGGACAGACGGATGGGTGGGGGGTGTTGAGGGGAGGAGGGGGTGTTGAGGTTGAACGTATAGCTGAGGTTTTCATATAAGCCTGCCTGTCTGAATTTCAACCTCACCTCAAGTTTCAGTAGAATAATCTTTTTAAAAACCTTTACTTTGCCGTTTCTGTTGATGTCCTACAATATGTATCATGATGTTTTATGTTGTGGTTTTATGTTGTCTGCATTTCCAGCTGTGTTGAGGGCAACAGACCCAGGACAGCAGCAACAGGTCATTGTGTGTGTTGTATATTTTAGTGTAGTGTGTGTGTGGTATCTTTAGTGTGTGTGTGTGTGTAGTGTCTTTAGTTATCTACAGTACCAGTCAAAAGTTTGGACACACCTACTCATTCCAGGGTTTTTCTTTATTTTTTACTATTTTCTACATTGTAGAATAATAGTGAAGACATCAAAACTATGAAATAACACATATGGAATCATGTAGTAACCAAAAAAGTGTTTAACAAATCAAAATACACTGCTCAAAAAAATTAAGGGAACACTAACACATCCTAGATCTGAATGAATGAAATAATCTTATTAAATACTTTTTTCTTTACATAGTTGAATGTGCTGACAACAAAATCACACAAAAATTATCAATGGAAAAATATTTTATATTTGAGATTCTTCAAAGTAGCCACCCTTTGCCTTGATGACAGCTTTTCATTCTCTTAACCAGCTTCATGAGGTAGTCACCTGGAATGTAGGTCTTGAAGGAGTTCCCACATATGTTGAGCACTTGTTGGCTGCTTTTCCTTCACTCTGCGGTCCGACTCATCCCAAACCATCTCAATTGGGTTGAGATCGGGTGATTGTGGAGGCCAGGTCATCTGATGCAGCACTCCATCACTCTCCTTCTTGGTCAAATAGCCCATACACAGCCTGGAGGTGTGTTGGGTCATTGTCCTGTTGAAAAACAAATGATAGTCCCACTAAGCGCAAACCAGATGGGATGGCGTATCGCTGCAGAATGCTGTGGGAGCCATGCTGCTTAAGTGTGCCTTGAATTCTAAATAAATCACAGACTGTGTCACCAGCAAAGCACCCACACACCATCACACCTCCTCCATGCTTCACGGTAGGAACCACACATGCCGAGATCATCCGTTCACCTACTCTGCGTCTCACAAAGACACAGTGGTTGGAACCAAAAATCTCAAATTTGGACTCATCAGACCAAAGGACAGATTTCCACCAGTCTAATGTCCATTGCTCCTGTTTCTTGGCCGAAGCAAGTCTCTTCTTCTTATTGGTGTCCTTTAGTAGTGGTTTCTTTGCAGCAATTCGACCATGAAGGCCTGATTCACGCAGTCTCCTCTGAACAGTTGATGTTGAGATGTCTGTTACTTAAACTCTGTGAAGCATTTACTTGGGCTGCAATTTCTGAGGTTCATTTAACTCTAATGAACTTATCCTCTGCAGCAGAGGTAACTCTGGGTCTTCCTTTCCTGTGGCGGTCCTCATGAGAGCCAGTTTCATCATAGCGCTTGATGTTTTTTGCGGCTGCACTTGAAGAAACGTTCAAAGTTCTTGAAATTTTCCAGATTGACTGACCTTCATGTCTTAAAGTAATGATGGACTGTCGTTTCTCTTTGCTTATTTGAGCTGTTCTTGCCATAATATGGACTTTTACCAAATAGGGCTATCTTCTGTATACCCCCCACCTTGTCACAACATAACTGATTGGCTCAAACGCATTAAGAAGGAAAGAAGTTCCACAAATTAACTTTTAACAAGGCACACCTGTTAATTGAAATGCATTCCAGGTGACTGCCTCATGAAGCTGGTTGAGAGAATGCCAAGAGTGTGCAAAGCTGTTATCAAGGCAAAGGTTGGCTATTTGAAGAATATCAAATATAACATATTTTGATTTGTTTAACACGTTTTTGGTTACTACATGATTCCATATGTGTTATTTAATAGTTTTGTTGTCTTCACTATTATTCTACAATGTAGAAAATAGTAAAAATAAAGAAAAACCCTGGAATGAGTAGGTGTGTCCAAACTTTTAACCGTTGCTGTATCTATAGTGTGTTATATTTTCACTTGCACTCAAGTGTTTTTTGCAGCGGGTGGGTTTGCAGTGTACTAAGCTAACGACTATTTTCCGCGTTTGGTTTTTTAGCGTGGCTATGGTTTGATTTGATGTTGCCTCAGATCGCTAACTAACAGGGACATGTGGTCTGCATACTAAATGACACCTTACCCCCTGTATAGTGCACTCTTGTTGAGCCCTATGGATTTTGATAATGTCTTACCTGGTTTCATGCTGTCTGCCGGGATCTGCAGTCAATTTAGCTAGTCAATTGATATTCAATTCATGAATTGGCAATTTTCCTATTTTTATCTTAGAGGGTTTTTCGATTCTCCTGAATTGACTGTATTAAAATTGAATTGATCTCAAACCCTGCCTCACACCACTCCAAACCATATCTGTGACCAGACAAACAGCAAGTGTTGTTGTGCATGAAGCAAGCAGCTCATCACATCAATGAACTTTTTCTTCTCCATGCGGTGCATCTCAATACTCTTGACGTGGCTTCCTCTCCTTAGTGGCCTCATCTCATTGTCTCCTCTCCTTCATCTGCACTGATCTGAACAAACAAAACAAAGGAAGCAGAACAGCTTCCTTTATATTAGGAAGGAAACGAGGAGATGAAGCCAGGGTCGTGTTCATGTCACGCACAGAATGTTGGACAAATTCAGGTAGTCTCTCCCTGTTTCTCTCAGGTCAGGTAGTCTCTCCCTGTTTCTCTCAGTTCAGGTAGTCTCTCTCTGTTTCTCTCAGTTCAGGCGGTCTCTCCCTGTTTCTCTCAGTTCAGGTAGTCTCTCCCTGTTTCTCTCAGTTCAGGCGGTCTCTCCCTGTTTCTCTCAGTTCAGGTAGTCTCTCCCTGTTTCTCTCAGTTCAGGTAGTCTCTCCCTGTTTCTCTCAGTTCAGGTAGTCTCTCCCTGTTTCTCTCAGTTCAGGTAGTCTCTCCCTGTTTCTCTCAGTTCAGGTAGTCTCTCCCTGTTTCTCTCAGTTTATGTAGTCTCTCCCTGTTTCTCTCAGTCCAGGTAGTCTCTCCCTGTTTCTCTCAGTTCAGGTAGTCTCTCTCTCTGTTTCTCTCAGTTCAGGTAGTCTCTCTCTCTGTTTCTCTCAGTTCAGGTAGTCTCTCCCTGTTTCTCTCAGTTTATGTAGTCTCTCCCTGTTTCTCTCAGTCCAGGTAGTCTCTCCCTGTTTCTCTCAGTTCAGGTAGTCTCTCCCTGTTTCTCTCAGTTCAGGTAGTCTCTCTCTCTGTTTCTCTCAGTTCAGGTAGTCTCTCTCTCTGTTTCTCTCAGTTCAGGTAGTCT